CTGACAAGGGAAACAGAAAAATGGAACTGGTGATATACTGTGTAGGAAGAAAACAAGGCAAAGACTGTATGTATCCTTACCTGTGACACTTGCAAAGCACTGGGGTGGGGAATAATACTAAAAGAAACTAGAAATGCATTCTCTACCCCCTTTCAACACTTTCCAGATCCCTGTGACAATGGGGATTATTGGGAATTACTTCATGGCTGCATTTCAGACAAATACTGCTGAAGTTACTGCACTTCCTTGCATTTTCAGAAATTTCCTTAAAGGGTGTTGTTGTTGTTCAGAAACCCCTTGAATAGGCACAAAGCTTCCCAGAAGTGGGAGGAAAAAAGGTGGCTGAAGTGGACAGTTCAGCTGGAATAATTAACAGGCAGTTAATTACTCCACCCCATTCTGAGTTTAAAAACACTTTGTGACATTTGCAAACATGTTAAAGGCTTGGGGCAGGGGGCTGAGAAACTGAAGAGATGAATAACAATAGGGGCAGCAGCTGGCAGTGCAGGAAAGAGACAATTAGGAGGGCAAGGGAACCAAAACTGCACAGCTCTGCTCTGTTTCAGATCTACTCTGAAGAAGGGATGAGGGAAAATGAAGGGATGAAGGAAAATGAAAATGCTAGTGAGATTACAAGGAGTGGCAGGCGAGTTCGCTACACTGGTTGGCTGTTTTCTCCCCATTTCTGGCTGCCAGATATAGATATATAAAATAAACAAACAGTGATCAGCAATACAAAATTCATGGCAGAGCAGCAGAACTGGGGCAGGAGATCTGAGCAAATTTAACAGCAGGAAAAAAATGTATGTGAACATGTTTCTCCAGGTGTTCCTACTTTATTATAAGGGAAGTGCTGAAGCATGGAGGCCATGGACACGAAGTGCACAAGGGGAAGGTTGTGAAATACTGGGAAGGTGATCTTTTTAAACAACAGCAACAACCTCCCAAGTGTGTTCCTACATTCGTAAGGGCTTAGAGAATTATTTCTTTATTGCAACCTCAGGCAGGTGGGAGGGAGTTTTCTACATCAGCCAGCAAACCTAGTAGACCAACTGCAGGAAATGTCCTGACTTAGGGAATGAGAAAACGAGGATTTCTGACACAGGTCCCATACCCAGGATACAGGTTGGAAGCAGGCTGGAGGACTGAGAAGGGCCAAAGGAGAAATAAGTCACAAGAAGCAGTCTAGGGGGACATTGTTTTTCTGGAGTAATGGACCGCCCATCCACCCACAAGGCTGCTTTGCAGGATGGATTAGCATGAAGTGCCAATGTGCAGTTTGTGTTTAGAAAACATCCCTGTAGCTACCGCAGACAGGATGTGGTTGCTACATTAAATGGGAATTGGTTGTGACCATCATGTTTAAGACTGCTTCCTATATGGTGTTTTTCTAACTGCAGTACCCCTTCTCCATAAACATGCATAAAAACAGCATGTATAGATAGTATGCAGTATCATACCTGGGTGGGACACCATTATTTCAACCAGTGCTGTATTGGCAGAAACACAAATGATATTTTGTGTCCTGTATGTCGGGTGTACAGTACACCAGACATAGAACTTAACGAAGCCAGCCTTCCATCTTTAAAACCATGCATTAATAATAGATCCAGCATTCTATACAGAGAAAAGCTATACTCATGTCAGACCAACCTTTGATAAAGCTCTTTTTCAGCTTGCAGAACAGGGAGGGTAGGCATAATTTATTTTTGATACCAAATTATTGTATTTGCCTGGTGATGTCATTCTTAGTAACCAATCAGGAATTACTTTGAAAGCTTGAGCAAATATAACATCCATTCATGTGGCAGGACATCTCCCGCTGCGCTTCGCCCCTGCATATGCTGTGCCGCCCCAACTCGTGGAGAAGAGCTCAAGGGTCTTGGGGAAGGAAAACTGCTCCCTCCCCGTTCCATTGATGGAAACTGTTCCATCAGTGGAAGTGATTACTGACTTCTGAACTTTTATTCTAGCATGTTTCATCCATGTTTCCTCCATTATATCTTTTACTGTAGTTATTTACAAAAATATGTAATGCTTACCATCGTCATTCTTACCTCTTGGTTTAAAACAGTATCTCTTTTCCTTGTAAGCAGAATACCCAACTACCACCCCAACAGTGAGCAGGACAACTACAGCCACAACAGGGGATGTAATCTGAGCTGTTGTACTAGAATCCACTATCGGAAGAGGTGAGAGACAACAACATATTATCTTTAAAAACACATCCAACCATTCTGATATAGATCTATTCTGAGGCTTACTTTTAATAAGATACATGTACTCTAAGTATTTACACATTTTAAGACAAACCAAGTAGGATTATTCCAGACCCTGCTGGCCTGAAGGACAAATATTAATTTTTAAAAAGGAATATTTGAATAGAGCCATTGTTCTTAGTAGTAGGATCGTCCTTACTGGCAAAGAAGGTAAACATCTTTCTGGGCAGGAATGGTTGATTCCTGCATTCTAATTCAACCAGGAATTTGAAATTTACGGCAACTGAGATATAAACGACATTATTCAGTCACTCTAGTTTCGCATGTTCTGCATTTTTTCTTTGAAGTGTTATGATCAGAATTGAGCTTAATTTAAAGAACTGAAACAAAATTATTCAAGTGTCAGGCTTAGTGTGGAATCTAGGACATGTTAGGAATCCATATATCCCACAGAAACAATTGGACTCAATCAGATGGACTTACACTCTTAAACATGTATTTCAGCTGAAGCACTAAGACTGAATGAGACGCAATGTTCACTGCATGGATGTTTAGGGGCACATTGCTCGTTTTGCTTTTTCTTTTAAGGATGTTTAAGTGGCCCTCTTTTATTCTGAAGGACAATAAGCTGTGCCGGCTTCGGTCTAGAACATGCTCATAATTCAAACTGAGACTGGGCACTTTCTTTACTCCCAAAGTAGGGAGATACAGATTGTGTTTACTCTCTGCTAATTGCATTTCATGAATTGTCAGGCATTTTCATTCCACCATCTTTTCATTGTCAGAATCAGATTTTTCTCAGTGTCTGGAACTTGAGTTTGCACTGGAAAGTGGGTATGTCAAAAAATGTGCAAATCTCCCTAAAATGACCATTTTCATGCTTTAGCCTATGGTGGTGGTGGTACTGGTGGTGGTGGGTGTTTGTGTGTGTACACATTTTCAGTCCACGTTTTGTTAGTATTTTTGTATGATTAAATTAGCCTACTATTTTGGAAAGTAAAAAAAAAGTCCACAAAATCTGAACAACTCAGAAAGTCAGTTCACCGTGAAATCCAGACTCATTAGAATCCATTGCAGATTTCTTCTACATATCTACCCTAAAGGTGCAGTTTACTCTGCAAAGAAAAAGTTCAAGAGCAAACTGCAGTCACCAGGTTTCCAACAGGAACAGGTGCATGCCCTAATCCTAATGGGAAACACATTCCAAAATTGGGCTGTGTGGTTTCTTTCATCTTCAAAGTAGAACTGGCCAGGTAAAAGATGCTTTACAGAAAAGCTTATTTATGCTCATCTGCATTTTGGTCAACGATATACCACAGAACAAAAACAGCATGCTGGCCTTACCAGTATTCCCACCATGATCTGAAATATGCTCCCTTTCTGCTGAAACAGAGATCATAACATGATTATTGGAGGAACAGAAATGTTTTAAACTGTCAAAATTGGCACAAGAGTTATCTGAATTAGTGAATATGTTACCATATTTTTCCACCTATAAGATGCCCCCAAGTCTAGGATGCCTCCCCACTTTTCTTACTGATCTCTGAGCGAGCGAGCGAGCGAGCTGCTGCTGTGCACGCATGCGAGAGCCACTGCCTCACCGCCTCCCCATGCACGTGCCAGTCTCCCCCCCGAACGCGCCTATGCCCATGCCCGCCTCCCCCATGAGCATGCCCACAATTGTGCCAGGCTTCCCCCCAAGCACGCCCGCACCTGCGCCACTCTTCTTCCCCAAGTGCACCCGCGATCACGCCTGTCTCCCCCTTCCAAGTGCACCCATGGTTCTCCTCTCGGCCCCCCATATATAAGACGCCCCTCCATTTTTAGCTATTTTTTTTAAAGGAAAAGTATCATCTTGTACACAGAAAAATACGGTACATTATTTGGATAAAAGAGATCAAACTGGTAATGCTTTCTTTCTGTTAGGAAGTTATTTCAGTATTTGAATTCTCTATCTAGTAGTAAGGGTAATGGTAATACTACACTAGATTTTGTGTAGATTATGAAGCAAGCATGCAAAACATGCAGCTAAAATGAATTCTGCTATTGTCACCATAGCACTAATATAGCTGCCCCTTATTACTGGCTTTTACTTCATGTACTCTGGCTGATCTGGTGGTACTTTTGCCTCAGCATACCTATGTAAAGAGCTTGCCACATCTGAACTCAGCATTGGCTGTACTAGCACATAACCCACAGTGGTAGGCATTGCTTTCTTGCTTGCTTTCATGTTTAATTCTATGCATATTCAGCTAGAGGCAGGTCCCACTGTGTGCAACAGGGATTTAGGTGTTAAGTGTTGCAAAGCAAGACATCTGGAGCTAGTGATCCACAGTGAATCTACTTTGATTGTGTCTGCTGATATTCCCAAAGTTCAGTGTGAGTTGGAGGCTCAGAATGATACGTTCAAGGGTCCTTCCTTCCAAGCCCATTATGGGCTGAGTCCACAACACCACCAGGTTCTTAAGTTCATCCTAAAGGCCTGGACTCATCATTTTCTTCCAGGATGTAAAGGAATTGGCAAGATATCTTCCAGCTGAATTTATAGGATCAAGACACATTGAAAACTGTAACTCCCATTCACCCCAGCAAAACTGATGCACCTGAGCATGTTTACGGGCCAGTCAGAGAGCTCTGTAATGAGGAGCTATATAAATACAGCAATTAATCAAGAAAATATAAAGTATATAGACAAGTTATGAAGATGAGACCATTAGCCATCACCTGAGCACTGCCATGTTCTCCCCTGAGAAAGGTAAGTTTTCTTGACAAGATCTGGTATTCCAAGTTAAACACCAGGTCCAAAATACTGCTAGTTTCTCAGAAGATTTGATTAAAAAGGGGTTTTATATTATTTCCAAGGTGAATTTTGGCCAGCTAGTTTGTTAACTAATTATGAGTCCTGAAAAGCTCCATGTCTATATTCAGAGGAAGCAGGAAAGCAGTGCAGTGCAAAAGGATGCCTCAGATCACTTCTTCCTGTGCACACACGAAGCAAGAAGAGCGGTGAGGGATACGTGGGCTTCAGTGCTTTCACATAACAGTACAACATAACATAACAATAAATGGTTGGTTGCCGCATCTGAATACAGCCTGCCTGGTATGGTGCGTGTGTGTTACATTCAATGTTGTCATTGTGTTTATGGAGGGTCCTTGGTGACTTCTGTAAATGGAAGTGAAGAAGCAATCCTTGCCAGTTCCTGCTCTGCCCAGGACCTCCTGCAGTATTCTGTTTGGAACATCCCTCCAACTCTCTGGACAGTTTTGGGGAGCACAGGGAAGGGGCAATTGTCAGAAGTGGCCTTTCCTTCCATTCACAGAAGCCAAAGATGGCTCAAAGATCTTTCCATGAACAGACAAACAGCACGCGGTGCATTACCATCAAAGGCTTCTGTTGAGGCAGAAGACAACTGTACACCTGTGGAAAGGACCTACGTATACAGTACCTGCTGGTGGTAGAGGTTTTCCATCATTGAGATCCGAGTCACTAAGATAACCTAAATAGATGAAATTACGGTATTACTCTTTTTCTCCAAATGATCTTGCTAAATATATCTCAGCTATTGGTCATTTTATAAATGAATTAAAAAACTTCAAAAACTGGCTTCCCATAGATCTAGGACTAATATTAATATTTAACATGTACTTTGATCTGATTTGATCTATGAAACATTAAACTAACTGTCTTTAACATCAAAGGCTTGGATTCAGATTTATGCTTGACCTACTTCACTAATAGAAGTGGGCTTTATTTCCTCCTGCCCACAACAGACCCTCCACACACATCCTTGAAAATGCTTCAGATAAAGTTACAAGAAACTGTTGAATGGCTTGAACTGTTCTGGGGAGTTGGGGGTAGATCCTCAAAACCTGAGTGGAGCAACCTGCTGCTGCTGGAACCTTTCCTCTCACAGAAGATCCTTTCCTCTTACAGAAGGTGACTCCTGGATCTAAAGCATAGAATCCAGGTGGAATCTGTTTGATCAAAGCATTCAAACAACTTACCTTTGGTATCCAGTTCTTCCCAAGATATAGGCAGCTAAGTGTACATTGTATTACACTGTAGGCCTTACAGCAACCACTCAAAATGTCAAAACAAACTTTTACACAGTTTTGGCCCTGTTTGAGTTAGTGTGCTCAAACATTTTCTTTTATAAGGCTTTCTAGTTTTTTCTAGTCATGTGTGCAGGTGTGCCCCTGTACACTTCTGCAGGTCTGAAATGGGCAGCCTCACCTGGGCAATGCCCAGGGGATCACCTGCTGTCAAACTGGCAGCTACTAAGGACATTGGCTGAGAGAAGCTGCAAAGAGGTGTATTTTTTCTATGTTTTTCTGGAGTAGCTGTCAAAGGTGGACTGTCAAAGGTGAGCCATATCATATTGTTGACTCGTATTCACCTTGTGATCTACAACATTTCCAAGATCTTTCTCACTTGCAGTATTATTGAGCCATCTTATAACTATGCATTTGATTTCTTTTTCTTTTTTACTAGGAACAGAACCTGGCCTATTAAATTAAATGGAATTAAAAATTAAAACTAGAATTTAATAGAATAGAATTTAAAAGAATTAAAAAATTAAAATTCTTTTTTACTAGGGACAGAACCGATCCCTATTAAATTTCATTATATTGGTTTCAGCTCAATATTCCAACCTCTGAAGATCACTTTGAATTTTGTATTTCTCTTCCAGGTTATTACCTATTCCTCCTAAGATTTGGATCTGTTGGTGGAAAGGCTACCAGTCCTGTTTTACATAAGATTTTTCACATGATGTCCACTTGAACATGGCTAAAATCTGTTCCAGTGAATCCAGATTACATGAATAATTCTGAATAAGTAGTTCTGATTTTGTTTAGATTAAATTAGCTGTACTGATATTAAATAACATAATCCAAACTGACAGATGTATAGATTTAGATTAAAAAGGTTGCTGTGAAATATTATAAACTTTTGAAAAATTAGTAAACACTTACCACCACCACCATGGCCACCTCCTAAACGAATGCCAGGACATAAAATAAAGCATATTACAACATTAACATGCTCGACATGTTAGTTTTCCACAGCAATTGCAAGAGATTCAAAAGAAAATATGAGTAGAGGCAACTGGGTTAAATTCAGGTTTGTGCAAGCAGACTTTGGCTCACACAAGGGACATTCCCTTGGTCTTCTCCCTCTAGCAATCTAGCAATGCTCTGATGGTTCTCCCAAGCCTCTGGTACAGGTGTGGGGAGCACACAAGGGGGAAGGGAAAGCCACTGGACAGCAGTCAACCAATAGCAGACAACCTGCCCAGATCTAATTGTAACACCCATCAAATGCTAATGCCCTGGTGAGCATACACCTGCTGTACAATGCATTTCAGGATCGCTCTGCTCTTGACAGGTGTGCATTTGCAAGGGAGCATTCAGGAAGCACTTTCAAGAGGAAATCATACTAATATGACAACATTTAGGACTAGCTATTAAGAAATCCTATATCATCAGCATCTCATAATGTTATAAAAACTGAAAAAAGTCAGGGAGAAACCCTTAAAATAGTAATCACTGAAGCATCTAGAAATTAACAGAAATAAATTGGAAAATAGAACTAACACCCCTCTTTTTGATCCAAAATACGGAAATAATTCTTACCATCATTTCCATAGGGTCTTAGGTCAGGATACAGGTTAGGTCTGGGATTATCTGTTAAGGATAAACATTTCCCGAAATATATCTATGACCAGAAATTAAATGGCTATCAGAATGAACACTGGTAATTTAAACCTTTGCTATGAAAATAATTCTTACCAGCATTTCCATGGCCACCTGCCTGTGGCCTTAGGTCAGGATACAGATTAGGTCTGGGATTATTACCTATTAATGATAAAATGATAAACATTTCCAAATATGAATCTCTTCAGCATATACATTGTTTCTCCAGTAAAACTATTGTCTTATGTTGGAGTTGCCCAGTCAGGAAGCTCTTCACCAAGTCTTCTGACAAAAAGAAAAAATGGCATGATTTTTCTGCCAGTATTAAAATTGCAGGGTTTGCTGGAAAAGCTCAAAGGCCAAAGACTGATTCAGTGTGGACTTTGACTCCTGTCAGGTATCTTGTACAGACAAAAGGTGATGTAGGTGTGCATATGTAAATGTATATGTCTAGGTACACATTTAGAAACAATTGTTTACTTTGATGGAAATGCATTCAGGGTTACAATAGTATGGAAGACTGTGAGCTGATGGCCTATGGGGATGCCTATTCCGTCTGCTGCCAAGGTGCTAACTGTCAATAGGTAACAGTTCCAATGGGTCTTTATCTTTAAGTCAGGATAAAACAGCCTTTCAAACCAAGGAAAATCCTCTGCCTGCCCTTCAGACTACCTTCTGCAGAAGTGGATGCATGGGCTGACCATGCTTCTTTTACATCCATAAGACCAATATACTGGGCTACAAGGAGAAAGCTTCGGAAATGAAAGTAGCTAAATTTTTACCAGAATTGGGTCACTAATAAAGGAAAATTAAATCCTGAGTATTAATTGGCTCCAGTTTCCAAGATACAGCTTCAGGTCAAAACTGCGTTCAAATAATTCAAAATTACAAGAGGGATATGCAATTATGCTCCATAACTTTTCTGCAAATTGTGATATAGCAATGAGAATGGTGCTACATCAATCATTATAAATTTATCTTTGTATTGATACCAATAATATAACTTTCCATTCATTTATTGGCTTTTAATTGGGGGAACCATGCAAAAATAGCAGTCGCTACTATGATTGGTGGGTTCCCTCCACACCATTGGGACTGCAAAAGGCATGAACTTTTTCTTCTTGTTTAGCCAATGATGCAGGTAAGTTGCACATGTAATGCAGCAATAATGAGGGGCCCAACTCTTGTCTTGATCCTCTATTTTTGCATCCAAAATATAGGTGGTATGCCTTTTTTACCACTACCATCATTCTGTACTTTTGAGATGCAAATGTAACCTTACCACAAATGTAGCAGAAGTTATCTGCATTGTTTACACAGTTTTGAGGCATCTTGGCTTCTGAGTGAAAATATCACACAACTGTTCCATAGAAATGTTAGGCAATGACACTTTCACAAGCCACCAGATGTAACTGTATGATGCATAGATCTGAGCAAGACAAATGTATCTTGCAATAAAAGAGCAATAAATTACAGTTAGGTAATAATCTTTAGCAGGGATGGCACAGTAGGTTAAACTGCTGAGCTGCTGGGCTGGTTGATTGAAAGGTCAACAGTTCGAATCCACACAACGGGGTGAGCGCTTGTTGCTCTGTCCCAGCTCCTGCCAACCTTGCAGTTCGAAAGCATACAAATGCAAGTAGGTAAAAAGGTACCACTTTGGTGGGAAAGTAACAGTGCACCGTGCACTTCGGTGTTTAGTCATGCTGGCCACATGACCATGGAGACTGTCTGCGGACAAATGCTGGCTTCCTTGGCTAGGAAACGGAGATGAGCACCGCCCCGTAGAGTCAGACATGACTGGACTTTAATGTCATGGGGAAACCTTTACCTTTAATAATCTTTAGTCTCAATGTGAAGATAAATTTATACACTTCCATGTGGTACGATTTTCATTGTTCTACTGTACTTTGTTGAGAAGTTACAAGGCATCATAACCATCAGACACCCTCCTTTGTAGGCAAATATACTCGCCTGTGTATAAATTTTTATTGTGAAATATTTTGAAAACTTTAGCCAACCAGCACCTTTATCACCTGTATTCTAATTCATCTAATCAAAATATGTAAGAATTAACACATTTTATCTCAGAAACATAGAACATAGAAACAGAGTGAGTCAGAAGAGGCCTCCTGGGCCATCTAGTCTTGACTCCCGGCTAAAACCGGCTCCGCTCACGACATGCCCACCATGTGCATGTCTAGCCTATCCTTGAACACCCTCACCGATGGGGCCTCAACCACCTCCCATGGAAGCCCATTCCACACCCTCGGGGTCCTAACTGTCAGGAAGTGCTTCCTGGCATCCAAATTGAACCTTGGTTCCTTGAGCTTGGCTCCATTGGAGCACATACTGCCCTCCTCTGCAGGAGAGAACAGGTCTTTACCCACCTCCGTGTGACACCCCCTCACTATATGTCACCAACAGAGGTCGATGATTTCCCAAAATTAGTAGACCAGTGATTTTACCTTTTTTTTTTTTTCTTGGTAAGTTGTTATGTATAGTTCCAGGCCCAAGATTCATTGGTGCAGTTGGGGTCTTCCTGCATAGAAATGGAGGGAAAGAGGGAAAGCTTTCCATTCCCTTTTCCATATCCTCATCTCTGTGAGGGCAATAGTTTAATTTATTCCATTTATTCCATCCCTCTTGCATACCATTAACAATAATGGAATTTTTTTTTACTCTTCCCAAGAACAGAATGACCAGATCTGAAAAGTGGTATTCTTCATCAAAATTCAGTGCCTAATGTATTTGGGCTGCAGAAGACAGTACACCAATCCTAAAATGGCTCTCGTGCCACTACCAGGGATATTATTATATTTGAAAGGTATTCCTAGGGCATAATCCTATGCATGTTTAGGCAAGAAAAAGTTCCAGTGCGCACTTAAAGACTGTTAAGAAAGTTCCAATAATAGACCTGACTCTTGTGCAGGCAAAGCTCAGTATTAAGTTTTCAGTCACACGTGTATGGCATGGGAATCTACTAGAACAAACGCATTTGAATATTCACCTGCTGGTGGCTTTTTAGTAGCTGGAGCAGGTCTCTTAGTAACTAAAATGAAAAAAGAAAAAGAAATGAAAGTTAATGTATTGTTCAGCTTATTAAAAGGTGATTTGTACAAGATGACTTGGAGTTATCTTGAGATATCTGAGACTGCAATCCTATCTCTACTTACCTGGGAATAAGCCCCACTAAACTTGGAGTAACTTGGTTTTCAGTACATGTGGTGGTGGTGGTTGCTGTTAATAATTAAATTTGTTTGCAAGCCACTGGTTAGCATCATGATCTCTGGGCAGTTATTACAATAAAAATCACATATGTATGATTGTATGGAAAAATAGTTGTCTTTTCTTTTAATTCAGTTGACTTGCTGGATTTCTATTTTGTTATCTATTTTTAATTATTGAATAAAACGGCTTTGGATATCCCTGAGTTCAGCTAAAAAGAGTTGATTTCCATTTACAATTATGTTTAAAATGACAAATTCTTGGGCCAAGGTCCAACTGCTATCCACAGGGATAGTTTGTGCTATTTTGCGCTTTTTTTCTGAACTCTGTTCCTGTACCCAAGCTGGTACCCTCCAGATCTTTTGGAGTGCAGTTCCCATCATTGTGATCCAGCATTGCTCTTGGTCATGGGTGCTAAACTGGGGAAATCTGCCTTATTTTGTTTTAATTGTCCTGGGCTTTGAAAATGTCTTGTTATTAGACACACAAGTGGTTTTGTTTGTTTGTTTTGTTTTGTTTTTTGGGGGGGGTTGGTGGGGGTTTTTTGTGGGGGGGGGAGGGGAAAATAGCCTGTATAAACAGTGGTGTCTGTTTCAGGGCATTTTCCATATGGAAAACACTGGCATATAGAGAATTGTACCTGTATGGACTCCTCTGAATCTCAGCTTTGGGTCTCCCTTTTGCACACAGCCAGAAGAGGGAGTTCTCCAGCAAATCATATTAAACCTGCATTCTTAGTTTGAGCTACTGATCTTGAACTTCAGCATAGGTTTTCTTTTGTCAATCAGTTGAATTGATTTTTTTATTAATCTATCCAGGATTCCATGCTTAGCTTTGTAAAATTAAAGCTAATTTAGTCATTGGCCTAAACTGAAAGAAGTTTCACTCCAGTTGAGTGTTCTGACCATACAATTATTATCTTTATTTTCACAATACACTTACCTGTATCAAGTGCATCTGCTAAGTCAAAATCATTGTCACCTATCAAAAGAAGCAAACATTAAATCAAGGATTTAAAGACAGTGTGCCCTTGTCTTGTTTGTTACATGAATGACATGGTAGCACTGAAACAGGCTTTGTATGTTTCACACAGGTAGTTGTAACATGCACATACTTACTACATGGGTCATAGCTGCTGAAAGGACAATCTGCACACTGCCATTATTCATTTATACGTTTAGTAGATTTATATCCCATCTTTCCCTTATTTAAAGAACTCAAAGCAGCAGACATCATTCTCCTCCTGCTGCTCCCAATCTTATGCCCACAACAACATCCTGTGTGGTAGGTTGGGCTGAGAGCCTGTGACTGGCCCAGAGTCACCGGTTGGCTCCTTGGCTGACCAGACCTCCTGAGTCCCAGCAACTAGCTACTAGAGGAATCATCCAGCAGCGAGTGAGGGATACTCCATTAAATTTTGTAAATCAGGACTGCCCCTGCCATCAGACCAAGTAAAGCACTTGCCTCAGGAGCAGATTTAAAGTGTCACAAAGGGGCAGCAGAGTTTTACTATTGCACTTTTTACCACCAGAGAGAGCACTTGTGGAATTTTCTGCCTCATGTGCTAAAATAACTCAGCTGGTTATCTGCCTTGATCTGCGTGGTTCTGTAGGGCATGATTTGCTGCTCCTGTTTAGGCAGAAAGTGTGTTCGGCCAGCCCTGGAGTAACAGCTGGTGCAGTGGAGACTAGCGTACCTGGCAATGTTAATGCAAAATTGATGTCCACCTTTCTGGAGATTTTGCTGACAGACACTAAGAAGCCACCCCTTTGTGAGACAAAGCTCCACTGGTTTTCTCATGAATAATGGCATAATTGATGTACTCAATTCAAAATAGAACCTCTCAGAAATCAAACGTAAGACTCTAATCCGTAAGAGCTCACTAGACTCAGCCATTTCAAATGAACATTAAACATGCGATGCACCATCTTGAGGCTGGAAACTAACTTGACTGCTCTCCTGAAAAGCTTGCTGATATATTCTGAAAATAAGATTAATGGGATAACCCCAAAGAGATTGTTTCAGTTGCAGATACTGAATCTGCACACCTGATGCCAAGGAGAAAAGAAGAATGCTTTTGTCAGGGCCTTTCAGTCAGGGTGAGCTTGCAAATGGAACACCAGATTGGCTCCTGACTGTTTGAATTCTTGTTACTGCTCCATCTTACCACTGAATATCTAGTTTGCACTTTTGTGCTTGAATAGCATTGCTCAATCCCTACTACATGGCAAATGTTTTTGAAACTAAACTGTGTCACACCTACTTTGAATATTGGCTGGCTATGCCATTCAGAGGAGAAAAATCAAAAATTCCACTTGGATTACACCAAACCATGGACACATTTAAAGAAACTCTTCAGGATCCAGAGAGCAGTAATGTTTACAACTATTTACCACACTGACATTTCCATTGTGTTGTGAATTTCTGCAAATGCATTCCAGTCCATGTTCCTATTGATTATTGTAGTGACATGGAAAGATACAAAGTGGTGGTATCAATCTCTACAATGCAGATATTATTATAGGGAAAGGAATTATTCTTATTGGGATAGGAATCTCTGGCCACAGGGAGGGCCTGTTTTGGTAGCACTGATGAGAGGTATAATTTGTACTTCAGTCCTGTCTCTCTCTATGGAAAGATTTATCTTAAAAGTTTACTCTGATAATAGTAGAATCTAGAAATAAACACGCAGATGTGCATGCATGCACGCGCGCGCGCACACACACACACAATTTTAAAATTTACTGCTGTGAGAAAACAGTGGATTACATATAAAATCAATGTGATACCAGGGTTTAGTTGAATGTGAGAATGCTCAGATTGGTTAGAAAGTTGGTGGGCTTGGGCAAGGCAACATCTTGCATTCTAACTCATCTACAAAGACAGTTATGAGGATAAATAGATGCACTGTTGATTTATTTTGGCACCTTTCTAAATGGCAGGGCAAATACGAGTGCTTGCAATTTAACAGATTACAGCGTAGCTGCTGCTTTTCATCCTCAAGGCCACCACTGGCTGAACTGCTCTGATGTCACAGATTTTCACAAGCAGTCATAGAACACAGTCATGAACAGTGCAGTAGCTGTGCAAGTGTGCTTCTCCCACCTTTGTCTGGGAATCCTATTTGCACACTGGTCAGGGATTGGAAAGTCTGTGCACGGGAGAAGCAGTGATGAGGGTACGGTGTATGTACAAGCTGAGACAGCTAAGGAAGAGGGCAGCAAAAGGAATGGAGGCTGATTTGGTGCTGGGTGAAACTAGGAGCCTGAAAGAAGCACATGCAGAAGCAGCAGATGGCGATGGAATAATGCAGTAGATGGGGAAAGAACAAATGATGCTGATGCTGATCTGGTGGAAGAGGCAAAAGGAAAAAGGACCTTCATGGAGGATCACATAAGGTGTGTGTGGGGGGGGTGGGGAGGCACTGTTTATAAAGGACGCAGCGAGTAGTCTAGGAATTAAGGGAGTGCATGAGATAGAGGACCATGGTAGCAGCAATGGAAAAGAAGGGGTTGAATGAAGAAGAACGGGGGTGGCATAGTAATGAGAATGTTGGACTGGGAATCGCGAGATCTGGATTCTAGTCCCCGTGCAGTCATGAAACTTGCTGGGTTCACATGACATGACAACACAAGGTGGTTGTCACCACTGTGCCTCTGCACCATGCCCTTCTCCCTCTTTTACATGAGCCCACCCTTCCAGGCAGAATGAACATAGGGGAGGATGCTGGCATTGGCTCCTCAACACCCGGCCAATTCTCCCAAAGTACTGGAACACCCCAAGCCCCTTTTCAGCGATCCTGCCCATCAGCCACACAGGGGCAGGGAGTACAGGCCCACAAGACAGCATTTGCCTGCTGGGGGTCATATTCCACAATGCATTCTGGTGTCACTCCCATCTCTCTGAGGTTTTTCCTCTGTTCCCATGCAGTGCATTTCTCAGCCATCGGTTCAGAGGGCAGGTAGGTAGAGCTGCTGGGGCTGGAGGGAGCTGCTGCCTGAAGTCAGGTGGGATGCTCACTGGGGAGCAAAAGCTGGGTATGAATAAGGGGTGGCTGGCCCTGACCTACTGGGATTCCCTCTGGAAAGTGCAGAGGCAAAGGAAGGTCCACAATGTATGAAGGGAGAGGTGGCACTGGGAAGGCAGGCAAGAAGAGGCAGGCATGGCAGCGGAGCTGCCCAGTCATAGGTTCAGGATGCCTGTAGAAATCAGCATTTCCAAAAACTATGGCCAAGCAATCCTTTCCTGCCTCAGTGGTCCTTATGCTGGGCAGATAATTGTACCTTCATGCCGGGGTACAATTGTCTGTGCTGTGTAGCAAAGCTGTTCCTCCCAGAATTGCAACAAGCTATTCTTCCCGAGGTTATGAATATGCAGAATAAAAGCGGGTGGGAAGTCCATCTTTCATCATTCCTAACACAGGAGGTAGAAGAGCATGGATCCCATGTCTTGTGCCACAGGGAAAGACCCTGAAGAAAATAAATTGACCTGTATACAGTGCAAAAATAGTTGAGGCTCAGGAGAACAGTAGGAGGCCTTTTCTTGGGTGTTTGCATGTCTTTTACCAAGCTTCCCTGGACTAACTTTGTTGCCCTTTGCTCTGTTTTCCTCCACGCTTCTCCTCCAGAATGCTCCTTTGTGTCCTCTTTGGCAGAGAGGCCTGCTGCTATGCAGGTATCTGAGGTGGGGAGAATGATGGACTTGGCATGTTCACCATGATCTCTTCTTAGCTTCCGGTCTCCTGAGCAGGTGAAGTCATTTTTGTTCTACAGGCAGCAGTGAACCCAGCAGTACAGATACTGCGTAAGCATTCTTATGCCATTTCAAGGGGTGGTGCACTGATTGTGCAACATGTGCTAGAAAAGTGTGCGATGCCTTTTTGATGCAGAAGGACCAGCTGATTTTCCTTTGCTTCTGCAGCAACTGCTGGTCTTAGCCTCCGCAGCTACCTGCTCTGCCACCTTCATTTCAGTGCCTAAAGCACTGGGGAAGTTTCTCCATTCTGCTCCTCACCCACACTGCTCTTCCCCACTCCTTTCCCCTCCTTCTTCCCCTTTGCAGTGCTCTCTGGATGCAGCAGCAGCATCCTGAGGCTTAAGGAGGAAGCAGAAGAGACTTGTACATGGGGGCTCCAAGCACACTTCCAGTCATGCCTGGCACTATGGTGCATGGCATTTCAGGGATCCCTTCCAGTGATGGGAGACCACTCACATGTGGAAAGGGGTTTTTCTCACCAGATTCTCAGACCCTCCTGCACATTTTGCAAGCTGCTTGTGCCAGGGAAGAGGAGAGGAGCCTCTTGGCAAGGACCCTCCACCTGATGGGGCCTCGCCTCTTCTCTAGCCAATAACGGATGATGTCTGGCAGTGTGGACCAGTGGCAAAAGGGTGTGGTGATTTCTTTGGTGGCCAGGGAACAAATTGCCAATAGATGCTTGTTCATTGCTGGACCCTTCCTCATGAAGAGGTGGTATGAATTCCATGCTAGGTGTGGATACGTGGAACAATGCTTGGGAAACGTTCTGCATGATCAATGAGTTGTACCTGTGATTAAGTTTGGGGATGAGTGGAGAAACATGAAGGGCTTCTGGAATTTGTGGTTTCCTTGGGCAGTGAGGGGCTGAATTCCATACACTGATTTTAGCCATCCTGGGCAGGGGCAAAGAGAACTACAACTGGAAATGCATGTACAATATGGTGCTACAGACACTAGTGGACTCCAGAGAAGCTTCTAGATGTTTAGGCTAGGCTTTTCTGGGTGGAGTCACAATCTGGCCATCTTCTGGAATTCTCCCTAGGCTGACAAACTGGAGAGAGATGTCTTCTTCAGAACATCCCCCTCATCAATGGGAAGTCTTCTGCCTCCTGATCCAGAATGACTAGGCTTTCACTATGTAGTTATGACTGATTTCCCCAGAACAGCCAAGCAGAACTTCAACCACTACCATAACTAAAGTAAGCTTCCCTGCAGATCTTCTGTTCAGACAGCTAAAGG